GTAGGTAAACTACCGACTCTGTATCAACTCAGTCTTGTCATTTGAGAAAGTGCAAAATTGCTTTATATTATTGACGGCTCTAAGAACATGAAGAGTCAATTTCAGCACTAACTGATATGACACCATCAAGCAATATATTACTGAATCACCAACTATAAATATAACTACTCTAGATTTACACCTTAAGCAAACTTCCCAAAGTCATATCTCTTTTGATCCGGTCTTCTTTCATCTTTTGAGTCGGGTTTTAAGACAGGAAATTGGGTCCTCAAGTGACCTCCACGAGTGTCTCGAAAAATACTAGAAAGATTAATCTGCGATAAGTGAGCGCGTGCTTTCAATAATAGCCTTGGCAATGGCACACGATGATGCTAATTATCATGGAAATTTTGAGGTAAAATTCATCAGAAAAACTGTTGTTAAAGCTGCAGGTTCATTGCCTGAGACTCATATTATCACTCTTTCAAATCTTGACCTTTTATCAGGTCGATTTCCTGTTACATATGTCTACTTTTATAGCAAAACACCCAATATTCACTTAACCGTTGCGACCCTTAAGTCCTCCCTTGCTCAATGTCTCAGACTATTCTACCCATTTTCTGGTCGAATGGTGCAAAACCCACAATCTAATGAGCCTGAGATCATGTGTGACAATAGTGGTGCACTTGTCGTAGAAGCACAGACGAACATTTCTCTTAAGGAGTTCAACTTCTATAATATCGATGAGTACCTTAAGGGAAAACTCGTCTCTGTCGATCACAATTTTCCTGTAAAAATCCAAATCACGGGATATGCGTGTAGAAGCATGGCAATTACATTCACATTTGACCATGCTCTAGGTGATGCAACTGCCTTTAGTAAGTTTCTTGTTACATGGTGTGAAATTGCTAATAAGAAGCTGATATCTTGCTCCCCGAACCATAGTCGAGCACTGTGTGCACGGGTTCCACCTAGTTACGATCCACTGTTGACTGACACGTTTGCATCCTGCACTTTGGACGATATACGCACAATTCCAACCATTAGTATGTTGCTCAAACGCCTATATTATATACCAAAATCAAGCATTGATATGATGCAAAAACTTGCATGCATTAATGGTGCCAAAAGGACGAAAATCGAGTCATTTTCAGCCTATGTATGGAAGGTTATGGTGAATGCAATTGATAAGAAACACAAGAATTGCAAGATGGGCTGGTTAGTTGATGGAAGAACTAGAATAAGATCAAATGATCCTGAGAATTCAATGTCAAATTACATAGGAAATGTCTTGTCTGTTACTTTCGGAGAGTCCACTGTGAATCATTTGAACCAAGGGTCTATTGCAGATATAGCAAATGTGGTTCACAATGCAATATCTAAGATAACAAATGAAGAACATTTCAGGGACTTGATTGACTGGATTGAGTGCCATAGGCCAGGACTAATGCTGGCCAAGAGTGTCTTGGGACTCGACGTTCCAACCCTCGTCATATCGTCTGGGAGAAGGTTTCCAGTGGCAGAACTGGACTTTGGTTTTGGAAGTCCGGTGCTCGGAACCGTATGCTCTACCATAGAGAGGCTTGGAGTTGGGTACATGAACCAAAGGGAAAGTGCTAGAGGAGATGGTTCTTGGACAGTGTCAGCAATATTATGGCCGGAGATGGTTGCGGCGCTAGAATCAGATCCTAGTAATGTGTTTCGGCCGATGAATTCGAGTCTTCTTCAACTTTAATGTACAATTGTGGCATATTACAAAGAGATTGTGGGCATTAGTTATTGTAACAATATATAACTTGCTATTATGAAATATTCAGTTTATGAATTATTTACTTCTAAAGTAGAATCCTCTAATTTTCTTTGATTGAATACTTAATTGTTATTCGCACTCGACTCATCTTTGATGTAGACGTGTAACCCTTGCTTTGATCAAAAAAAATAAAAGGGGGGCGGGGGGGCTATCAAGTGGTAGGTACTTTTTAATTAGTATGCCACTATCGAAAAATTCGAAAAAACTTTACAATGCAAAAATAGAAGGCCGTCAAACAAGGGTTTAATGCATAGACAATGACATGACGTTAAAATCTTTACGAATCATGAAAGTTTTTACAATTTGTCCTAGCCTAAGACATGTTGATAGAGGTTTTAACTTAATTTCATATAAATTTTCTCTTGGCCACCATTCTCCAATTAAACAAACACTAGAAACTAAGTGGAAATTGTGTCACTTGATAACTCATTAACAAAATAATAAATTGATTTAGGCATCAAAGTGTAGGTAGTCATTCATTTCATAATTTTTATACCACAAGAGAAGAATACGATGACAAATTTTCTAATGGCACGTACAAAATGTTTCATTCTTAAAACAAAAGAACAATCTTTCAAAAGCCAGTGATATATTCCATGCAGTGAACATAGAACTGCATATTTCCTTCAAGCTTTTCCTCTCTGACTCCGTAGTATCTTCTTTGATCTTTTCTGCCTCCACCTTTTCCAATGCTTTTGATACATTCGGCAAATGATTATGCTACACGTATATTATGGTGTTCATAAGGGTGTCCATAATGTATAAGTGGCATAACATTATTGGATAGTTGAAAAACAGTTTTTTCAATCCTCAAATAATGGAATTCCACACGTACATTATGGACATTCTTATGGATACCATAATATACATATAGAATTATCCTTTGGCAAAACCATGAAACCAAATTCATCATTAAAAAAGAGTCCTTTTAATGCTAGGAAATATTGATGCCAAAACAGGTTTTCCACTCATCATGGCTTCCATCCGTACAAGATCAAGCCCTAGTAGCCCAAGTGTTGGATTAACAAAATCATCGATCGCGTTAAGAAAAGTGTGTAATTTAGATGAATTTACTGAACTCGAAACTATGACTTGTGGACCTAAGTCTTTGTAGGTCTTTAGCCATGGTCCTGAGCCAGCAACAATTAGGTCGATATTCAAGTGGAAAATGACTCATAAAGTATGGGATGCCCTTTATCCTTTACTAGTCGTCCTGCTGCTCCAAGGACTAAACTAGCATTTTCGTGGACACCATTTTTGGATTTAAATTCATGGCCAAATCTTGAATCTTGTTGAGAATCTTCTTTGTTTACACCATTAAGGCTTATGTGCTCTCATCAAATGGGGATTTGGTATACATATTATTGTATTTACCCCAACTATCACTTATAGCCACATGGTGTGCGTAATTTTTTGAAAAAATCGACTATCATTTAGTACTTTTGGAATCATGCTTTGTATGCTTTTGTTGAAAATAGGGATATGGGCTATTTTGGCTGGCATACGATATCTTTGTAGGTACTCGATTGCATGCCCTCGAATGCCATGCCAAGAAACTACAAGGGAGGGACGTGTCTAGCTAACCAATAAAGATAGCCACACTTTCGGAATGAGTTACATCAAATGGCTCGCATTAATTTTCTTCTTGAAATTGTTCCCAAGACATATTGTATCGCCATTTGTTCGATTCTCCCTTGTGCCAATGTATACGATAGGCAACAAATTTGGACTTCCTTGGGAAGGAGAATGCTCTTGTGATGTGATTGTGAGAGCATCATTAAGTGGTGGAGAAATAAAGACATGTACTTGATGTCCACAGGCAGCAATAGTCGTATGCTGAGTGTGCACATGGCGTTCCATGCCACCGGAAGTAGTGGAAGTAGGCAATTTCCAAGAGAAGACAGCAATTTTAAGTGTCATTGACAACGGTGGCCTGCCATCAATTAATTTTAGCCTGTTCCATGCGAATTCAGCGTTTAAATGATTGCCCGACTATGGCTTGTTGGTGGAGGAAAAGGTTGTACAAATGGAAATTGATGGTATGTGGAGAAGGAGAAGAGCTGGAATTGTGAAAATTACTATGAAGAATAGTGTTGTGGCTAGATCAAACTTAATGGGTTCTTTGGTTGCTTGTTGATGGCCATTTCTTCTTGGATATGGTATGGATTTTTGGGAGAAAATTTGGGTACAAGTTAGTGTGTGTTTTTGGTGTTTGTTTGTGTGTGATTTGATGAATAGATTAATGAATATCAAAGTTGAAAAGTGCTTTGCAGGAGAGTTAGTCTCACATTTCAGCAAGTGTTTTTGGCACTAGAGAGTACGTTCCTCACATCCTTTTGAGTGAAAAATGCATTCTAGCTTTCACACTCAAACACGAAGAAAAGGGGGAAAAACACGTGTGTATATATGTACGTATATAAATGTAGAAAGGGTTCAAGTATCAAATTAGGTACTGATACACTCAAATTGGGCCAAGGAGGCATCGACCTCAAAAGATAAGTTAGTGTGTGATGGTAAAGAGACAAACCTATGTATCGTCTTCCAAATATATTGGCTCATGGCATAGTTTAAGCAAACTTGATTTGGGAGTGATATCAACAATAAGTATGATATCTAGAAAAAAAAAAAATATTGAAGAGAATTATCATGTGAATTCAGAATTTTATATATATTTAGGCCTCGTTTGATAGCCATTTTTTTCAAAATACATTTTTCTCTCTCTTCTTTTCAATCACACATTCTTTATTAAAATAATATTACACGTAAATCAAAAATTTTTCCTTATTTTTCAACCACACATTTCACATCAATTTACTATTCTAAAATGCATTTTTACATAAAAAAATGTCTATCAAACACCCTTTTAAGTATTTTTCAACTCTTCAATTAATTAATTTGTGTATCCAAATAATCTTTTCCCTTGATACTTTTTGTACATATGTTGGTCCTTTATTAGGCCTTGGCCTCAATTGGTTTAAGGTCTTGAGAGAATCTATCCGTGGGACGAATCTACTAATTTTCAAAAGGTCGTGGGAGTGTATGCTGCTAGAAAACAAAAGTAAGGACAAATCTGCAACCTTTGGGAAAGGTTGGGACAGAAACTGCAATTTACCCCTTAAATTAAAGAATTGTAATTAGGAATCTAGGATTGCGTGAGCCTATTCAGAGTGGGGTCCAGGTAAAGAAATTATGAGATGACAAAGCGACAAATTCGTGAATTAGCCGTTGAGACTCACTGCACAGAACCGTCGGAAAAAAATGAAAACTACACAACAAAACGGTTCAATAACCTCAATTTCACACGCCACATACTGAAATCTCACTATCTCTCTGTACTATGGCCGATTTTCTGACGGACAGTGATGATGAGAAGAAGGTCGATGAGCTTCTGTCTCAGGCAATGGACCTTACTGTGCTTGAGCAAGTTGCTGCCATTAATTGTTCTGGTTTCAATGATTCCGATCTTCCATCTCATCTTGAAACCCGTTTTCAAAAACTCAAATCTTTCCCAGTAGAGAAATCGAAGTCCGATCTTTTGTCAACCAAAAGCTTCAATTCTTCAAAAACCCCAGAATTCAAGAACAGGGATCTGATTAATGAAGCCAAAAAGGTTAACCCTAGTGAAGAAATTAAAGGGTATTTTTCAGATGAAAGATCAAAGGAGAAAATGGGTTCAAAATCAACTGAAAATGGGTTAAAGAAAAATCCAGTTGGTAAAAATTGCGTATCGCCTACAGAATCATTTGAGAATGAGAGTTTTCCTTCTTTGAAGAAAAACGCACAAGGGAAAATGGGAAAAAAGCAACCGAAATCCCCATCTTCGGCTTCGTGGGACGATTTTTCGGGTGAGTCTCTGTCCCCACCTGCAAAAACTGGTTGCTTTTGGTGTTCTCCGAAAAAGGCTTCGAGGAAAAACAGCAAAGAAAACAGGAGTCTGGATAGAGACCTTGATTGGGGGAAGAATGATGAGTTTTTATCTGATATGAGTAATTTTTCGTCGAAAAGTCAAAAAAAGAAGATGATGAAGGCTATGAAGGAAGAGGAAGAGATATGTAGGGAGGCAGAGAAGATTATCAAGTGGGCAAAGCAAGCTTCAGCAAGGATGGATGTTTCTGGCATTGAAGATGAGCTAAGTGATAATGAGAATTTTAAATGATCACTTACAGTTTATGTTCACTACATTTTCCTATACAAGAAAGATATATTCCATTTTTTTTTAATTTGATCCTATTATATGGTTTTCTGTTCCGCTTGTGGAGTTTTATTAGTATAAAGATACAAATTGTATACGTTTGGGTTGCTACATATTATACGGAGGAAAAAATTGATATCCTGCACCATTTATGGTACACTTTTAGTAAATTGATGGTTTAGAGATCACATGAATGGTGAATTTTTTTATGCCTTAGATTTCTTAGATGTTCTTGGATATCATCTTTTTGCACTTCGCTACAAATGTTTTGGAAATATATATGTATTTGGTTTATGTTTTCTAACTTTGCTATTTAGTTCTTGAATATTTAGCAGCTATGGTTGCTGGAACTGCTTAAGTATAGGTTCGAATCATATGTATCAAGAAGTAAAAGAGTTTTCTTAGATCATTTTTTTGGATAATATCTGTGATGTCAGAATTTATGTTATCATTATAGGCTTCGCGTATATCTCCTGTTATATATATTGTGAAGTATACCAATTCTTATTGCCTGATTATGTATTATATCTTTTAAACATAATGATGGGGCGGAACTTGAAAAATAAAATGTGGGATCCTGAAATTCTTTAGTCTCTGAAGGACATTTACAGATATTGGATTTTCCTGTGCAAGATTTTTGGATTTTGAGTGTGGACACTGGGGACTTGATCAATATGATGTAATTCGCTCATCAAATGTATCTTCTTGGGGACTACTACTGACCTGAAATGGGAGATGTGAGTGAATTGAAAGGAGAAGAAAAGACTGAATATTGGTATGTAATTTGACATTGTAGGATTCGAGGAATTTGTTTAATTATATAAGAACTCATCGTAAATATCTCATGAAGTCTCCTAATTCAACTTCCTCATTATGAATGATACCTTCAACACATAAAGATGGAGGTAAACTTGCTAATTAAATTGTGAGATCCTGAAATTCATAAGTTCTTGAAGGACATGGGCTCATGTTCGTTTTGCCATGGCTAACTTTTTGGGTTTTGGAAGGAGTGTGGACGCTGGAAATGTAATCATTTTTTTGATTTAGTGTGCCCTGTGTGATGGTCTTTGGGTCTAATAGTGACCTGAAAATGGAGATTGTGAGCAAATAGAGAGAAGAAGAGTAAACAGACTGAGTTGATGAAAATGAAATTAGTGGAATGCCTCAGAATTCCATGACATTACTACTGATGTTATGTCATAGCTTATTGATTACTTTCTTTGATGATTCTTGATCCAACTTCTTTTCATAGCTATTAACAGAATTATTTTCCTTCCTCCATCCTTCTTGAAGAGTCCTCTTTATCCTTGTTAATTTAGATACAGAAAACTTGTATCTGCACGCATTACCTATCTGATTACTAATATTTGGTTCCAAATTATCATGTCCATGATGGAAAACATGCTTGCTTTTCTTGAGTTATGAGATAGCCATTTCTGATCTCCACGCATGCTTGCCAAAAAATTTCAATGACGTTCCAAAAATTTTCAGAGAAGCATGAAGCAAGAAAAGTGCAACGAAGTATATGGGCTGAAGTCAGAGCAAAAAGGGCATAAAATACTTGGTGTTGCCAATGATAATTAACTTGTGCAAGTATTCTACCAGGTTTTCTTCTGAGGGGAATTCTAGAAGATTATTGTATGGGTAATTTGCACAAAACATCCCTAACTTTCATTTTTTGACATTTTAGCCCTTACCTTCCACATTTCTTTGCGCTGAATGTCCTTTTTACCAATTTTTAACATAAAATGACCAAAACACCCTCCCATTTTAATAAAACCAAAAAAAATAAAAAAATAAAAAATAAATTACAATCTTACTCCTAAATGTTTAAAAAGTGTAAGTAAATCCAAATAATTATAAAAGGCCTAATAGCACAAAATGTCCCTACATTTGGCCTATAGTATGTAAAACGTCCCTACGTTTCAAATTGGTGAAAATGACGTTTTACGCAATAAAATGTTGAAATAGGGATGAAAACGCAAAAAAATTGAAACGTAGGAACGTTCTCTACAAGAAGTGTCAAACATAGGGATTTTTTTACTATTAGGCCTTATTAAAATATTAAAAATAACAACTCTCTCTCTCTCTCTCTTCTTCTCCAAATGGGTCAGCCATCTTAGAAGTTAAAAAACTCCAGCAAACCACCACCCAAACAATTGGATCACCATACCACCGAAAAGCCCTCATTTCTCTTTACACATACCACCCAACATCTAACCTTGAAACCTTCGTGTCAATAGATTTGTTCGAAATTGCAAGCTAAAATACCCAACTAGCAAATACTGGCGGCATCACCTGTTCTAGAAAGACACATGTCATTTCCAACACACCAATCAACTATACTTACTAGGGTGTCTCTCTTCATGATCTTAAAATATCAACAGATGGTTCAGCGATATAGAGATTCGACGGTTTGGGCGTTGGTTGGTAGGAGTTTTTTCACTTCTAACGTGGCATTCCTATTTGGAGGAGAAGGGAGAGAGAGTTTTTTTTTTTTTTTAATAAGGTCTAATAGCAAACAAATCCTTACGTTTGACACTTCTTGCGAAAAAGGTCTCTAAATTTCAATTTTTTTGCATTTTCATCCCTATTTTTATGTTTCATTGTGGAAAACGTCATTTTCACCAATTTGAAACGTATGGATTTTTTGCACACTATAGGTCAAACATAGGGACATTTTGTACTATTCGGCCTTTTAATAATTATTTGGACTCACCTGCACTTTTTAAAACATTTAGGAGTAAGATTGTAATTTATTTTTTTATTTTATTTTTATGTTTTGTTTTATTTAAATAGGAGGGTATTTTGGTCATTTTATGTTAAAAATTGGTGAAAAGGACGTTCAGTGCAAATAAATGTGAAAGGTAAGGGCAAAAATGTCAAAAAGTGAAAGGTAATGACGTTTTCCACAATAAACTTGAAAGGTAAGAATGTTTTGTGTCAATTACCCATTATTGTATGCATACTTTCTATGTTTAGATCCTTGAACAAAAGTTATTAAGGGTTTATATGCTACATTTCTTAGGATTTTATTATGTCTATTTACTAGATTCTATATTATTTGATTATATGTTTCCTACTTATTTTGTATCATAAGATCCTTTTAATGATCTATTTTCGCTCGTCGCAGTCGTACCTTGTTTCTATCAGTATTAAGTGAGTGCACTACGTTATATCTGTAGATTTTATTTCCCTCGTGCAAAAAGTTTAGAGTAAATTAGGGTTGGGCTCCCTAACCTCTCACATACTGTGGTTATCGAACCCTAATTTCTAAAAATGAGGTTTTCGATCTCCAACCTATTTGAACATGTGAATTTAGATTTCATGTCATAGAAATTGTCAAATCGGACACTAAATTACAATATCTTTTAAGTTGAATTGGAGATAAATGTTAAGTGATTTGGCAATTTCACCGTCTAATCGTGAGTGAATCATATGAAAGTTGCATGCAATTTAAAGTCAACATTGATGGTTTCAGTCACTTGGAGTCCCAAATTTACCAATTTAAATAAGGACTTACACTTCAATCTGAAGGTTAAGGCCCTACGATCACACTCTGCATGCAAGGTTGGGGAACCCAACATATGGAACTCTTGTCCTGCAAAAGACTTGAGCTACACTCATGAAACTTAAAGAAACCTGTCAACCTAATCAACAAAATGAAGCCCCCTTTTTTCTCCTCTCTTAAACCAATTGTTGTTTAGTTTGGAGGTATTTGGACCCCAATCTATGTCCTTAGGGGCGGTTTAGCAATGACCTCTACAGCTTTACTGTATCTATTTGTATAAAAATGCAGTACAGTAAGGATAGAGAAATGCTAGCCTTACTTCGAGAGGCCAAGAGAGTAAGACAAGAAATTGATGCTAGGATATAAAAATGGGAGCACTGCCCATTTCAAAGACTAAAACTTGAGATAATCTATAATTGAAACTTTTCCTATTCGTGTAGCCAGGAGGAATGCCCCGTTCAAACCTGGTATACTCTCTTGAGAAGGGGTATGATGGTTTCCACTAAAGGTGAGACTTTCACAAAAAAGGAAGGCTATATTTCCTATCAAAGAGCTCTGATATTGTCATAACTACACGTGATACACGAAATAAACATGCATAGGAACAAACCTATATTTTCATACTAAAGAAAAATAGGACTTCTTGTATTTTTAGCTATATCCAAGTGAGAACATAGTTCTTTGTTGTGCTTTCTAGGATCTAAGAAATGGAACTCTCATTCTCTGAGTTCTCCCCTTGAAGATCCTTGTATCCTTGTTTTTCAAGATTTTAATACGCTCACTACGATGACCTTCAATCGCCATCCAATACACGATCACATTTCCTTCTCTACTGATAGTTCAATATAGTTGATCATCAACTTAAGTTGTGCACATAGTCGAAAGATTTCTTCCAAGATGTATGCAATATTCCACGAGCTCTCTACTTCTTTTCTATACTAGTTGATACATTGAAACCGAGTCCATCTCAACCCAAACAGGTTGTAGATTATATGGGTTGCACACTCTCAGCCCACAAAGAAGAACTTTCACCTCGACATCAAAGCTATGACAGCAGTCTCCATAAAATTCATGAAAGGCAAAAATAAGCTCCCCTGCAAAGTCTAATAACCCCTCCTCCCACAGCTTGCCTGGAGGGTGCTTTAAAAGCACCCATAAGTGTTCAATTTAAACTTTCTGTTGTTAGGCTTTTTCCATTTTAATCAGCTTTGGGACATGCATCTTACTCACAGGGCACCCAATGCCAATATGTTCCATACAATGCATCTTTGCTTAACATACCAGAACTTGTGAGTAGTTTAATAAGATTTTGAATTCTCCAAATAGCCGTATCAGCAATTGTATTGCATTTTCTGAACATTAAATAACTAACTCTGTTTGACAACTATTATTTCAAAATTCTTTTTTCTATATACTCATTTTCAAATCATACATTCACACGATAAAATATTTTGCACGTAATCTTAAAACTTTTTCTTACTTTTTAACACAATATTCTCTAAAAAATGACTATTCAAAACTCTATTTTATCCAAACGGGGGCTAAGTACTTTGGTCTTTATCTTTATGACCTAGGCTTTGTTTGATCTCCATTATTTTCAAAATATATTTTTCTCTCTTTTATTTTGAACCACAAATTCTTCAATAAAATAATATTACACTCAAATTTAAAAATTTTCCTTATTTTTTTAACCACACATTCCTCGCCAATCT